CTCCTAATGACAGAACACAGTGGTTGTGTATTTTCTGCATCTATTTCCTTTGACTTACATGCATAGTTTTTTAGAGTTATAAAGGAATTTTAGGGGCTTTATGTTGACTGGTGATAATCATTTTGTGGTGTATTTCCACGCTTGTGAGATGCACTTTTAAATATATAAACTAGTTCCCAATACGTATTAGGAGTTTGATAAATGCAGTGTGTTGTTCTTAGATGTATTCAGGGACTATGAGGCTGACTATAGCGCCACCTTGAGTGCAGAAGAGGTGGAAACCCAAGCGGAGGAGGGAGGGAATAATCAAAGGGAGGCGGAGAATGAGGAGGAGGAGGAGGGTAGAGGAAAACTGTTTCTTTTACTTGGCATGCCTCCTCTTTTTCATTTGATTTTTAGCAGATACATCCTGTTGTCCCTGTTTTCGATTTGTTTCTCTTCTGACTTTTTCTTGGTCTGTCGTTCTTTTTTTCCCTTCTTTCTCTTTCACTCTCTCTCTCATTGCATGAGCATGCAATTAAAGTATGGAAACCTCCTCTCCTTTCTTAGAAAGCCTTCTCGTAAAGCCATCTTAGTTACATAGTTTTTTGGGCATTATTTTTTTTCCCATGCTGTCATTGTGTCTTTTTTGTCTTAGTGACCGAATAACAGAAATCTAAACACGGTGCACATGGACTAATATAACACACTGACAACATCCTTCTGTTATAAATGTATTACTCGATTAGCTCTCATAATCTGTGTTACATAATGGCTTAAAATGTTAATCTGGCTGGTATGTGTGGTTTGATGACAGTTGGCGTCAGCTGCCACGAAGGCTCAGAGTAGATGCACGGAAGCATGTGCAAATTTATTACATTAATCCAAACTACCTCTCCAGTCCAAGTCAGCCTGTCACATATATATGTTTTATTTAAAAAACACACATTTTCGACATGCTTAAATTTCAACTGCCACAATCACTAAGTGTACGAGGATATAAATATTTCTAAGAACATTTTCCGCATGTACATACAGTAATCCTGCATGTCTGTATTCCAACTGCATCTATGTTGTCATTCTATTATATTCAAAACCAAATAGAAACTGGTGTCAAAAAAAACTCTATAAAAGGTTTACCTTAGACTAATGGTAATTGAAGACCTGATGATGACTTTATGCCCCCTGTTTGGTTAATTAAAGGTAAACTGAACTTAATCCCTGACACCCAGGTGGCATCTTTTGGGAGAATTTTCTTTGTAGAAACACAGTTAGCATATATCCAAAACATTTGACTTCTGTTTAGGCTGTATTTGCATTTAGACATCAGGGTTTTGAGATATGACAGACACAGCTACAACCATCAATTTAAGCAAAGATGAAGATACAAATAAGTCTTCCACTACTCTCACTACTCTCTCTATTTGTTCACCCTGGGGTTGCCCTTCCCCAGGCTTGTCCCTGTGGCTTCCTGTCCTGGGTTTGGGATTGGCTGTTCTCCTGCCCTGCACCCCAGTTCTTTGTTCCAATTCCGGGAATCCCCTCTATTTGTACTATTAATCGCCATATTGCAATATTACATCAATCCCAAACTGTAGTCTCTTTAACTCTAATGTATATTCATTAATCTGTTATTCTCAACATTAGTAAATCCTTTCTTTAGATATATCTCTTGAAAAGCAATGGCTGTCTTGTTAAGGCAATTTAATATCACTATTTTTTGTTTTCCAATTTTAGTTTCCCACTTTATCCAGTTGCTTTTTTCCATGTGTCAAAGACTCTTCATGTTAGTTAAGTAATGGGTTGTTCTTTTAGCATATTTTGTCTCTCCCCAGGTCTTTCCTGACCTCCACAGACAAGGAGAATATGTTCACCCTGGACCATTTCCCAGTGTGGTACCGCAGAGCAGCTGAGTACCCAGCTGGAAAGTTTCTATATTACATGCCCAGACAAGACACTAGAGGTAGGAGGCCATACCTTTACTTAGTATACACACACCTGCAAAATAAAACAAACAAACAAATCCTACGAAATACTATTTATGATGGTGTTTTTTCTTTTTCTTTTGCAATGTTCAGCAGATTGAGTAAAGAATCCCCCATGTAAGGCTAGTTTTTGTATCGTCAGGGGGGTACAGCTGCTCTTTTCTGTTTCCCTCTATGTATATTAATGCAGTTTGCATAAATCCTGAAACATCATGAAAAAATAACATCCTGATCTACTCTGATCACCCACTTTATAACATCTTCAAGGAAACATCAGTACTGGAAGACTCTTCTCTTTTTGTTGTAAAGTGAAGAGATACAGGAGAACATTCGCACCCACTGCCCGTATGCCTTTTCAAGTGTCATACAAATAGCAGATGAGCCCCGTCAGACATGTGAATTTCCCTAAATAAAGTTTTT